CAGCCGCCTGAGGCTCTTAACAGAGCGCTCAGGCGGCTGCAGTATTTAAAGGGCCCGCCCCAGGAACGCAGCCCACCGGGAAATTTCCCGGTATCCCGGTGGGCCAGTCCGGCCCTGTCCAAAAGTCTATTCTTATAGCTTAAAGATGAATCGTCACTTCTCTGTAAATTACACCACTGGATTAAACATTGAAATTAACCTACAATGTGTGATTGATCATTCATTTTAAAGCTCTGTTTCCTTTTAAAAATTATGTTAAATAATTAAAGCTTCAGCACCATGAGCCGACATGAGTACAGAATTGAGGTCTATGGAGGATCCCGCAAGACCCTTCATAGACAGAGCCGATTCCCTGTTGTCTCTGCTTATCTCTTAACTTGGTTGGGATTTTAGTGAAATACAAATTTTTCACTGGACTGGCCGAGAATCTTTACATGTTTTATTAAAATAAAAAATGTTACACTGAAAGTCTGAGATGCCTGGTATCCTGCTCCAGCTGGGACTTTCCAGAAAGGCCTCTAAGACTGCACCCCAGCCGACATCGGCAACTTGGGACCAGGAGAGAGTCATACCGTTTATACCAGTGGCCCGCAGGGGAAGCCCTTCAACAGAGCCTGTTCGCTGACAGCACAGAAGACCTCACTACTGTGCCCATAAGGTTCACTACTGCATGCCACACTGTTATCATATTTTAAATTTATTTTATTTATAACTGTTATAGTTTTGGTTATATGTGAGTAAATGGCTCTGGTTTACACTCCAAATTGCCTTGACACTGCCTCTCAGGCAACCCTAATGGTACTGAGATAGTAAGCTGAGCGCTGACTGCAACTTCCATGATACTTTGACATTCTAATGACTCAAAAAGAATCATGGCAGGTTTAGTTTTACAACATCGGAGGACCTACCATTTGCCCAGCCTTCGAGTCTTCAGAAACAACTGGTGTCTCCTGCACCCAGGCATCAGTTTGTCAAACGGTGCTTAGACTAGCATCTAGCACCATAAGCACTAAAGGTCAATTGACCCCATTAAAAAAAAACAGGCAAATATTAAAAAGCCATAACATTTACCTTTATTCTAGCACTGGGGGCCATCTTCTCACTTCATCTCATTATTTTTACAGTGAAGTAATCAATTCTGATAACTTATGTCAAGTCAGATACTTGTCAAAAACCCATTGAGAACACACAATGCTTAAAGGACCACTATAGGCACCCAGACCACTTCAGCTTAATGAAGTGGTCTGGGTGCCAGGTCCAGCTACGTTTAACCCTTTTTTCTATAAACATAGCAGTTTCAGAGACAGCCGCTAGAAGCGCTTACGTGTTTCTCACTGTGATTTTCTCAGTGAGAAGACGCCAGCGTCCATAGGAAAGCATTGAGAATGCTTTCCTATCAGACTGGCTGAATGCGGCTCTTGACGCGCATGCTCATTCAGCCGAGGAGGAGGCGGAGAGGAGGAGGAGAGCTCCCCGCCTGGCGCTGGAGAAAGAGGTAAGTTTAACCCCTTCCACCCCCTAGAGCCCGGCGGGAGGGGGACCCTGAGGGTGGGGGCACCCTCAGGGCACTATAGTGCCAGGAAAACGAGTTTGTTTTCCTGGCACTATAGTGGTCCTTTAAGTGGTAATCTCGGTTATCCACCTAATTAAGTACTACTCTATGATAAGTATTGAATCCATTGCTTCTCATAAAAAAGATGCACAAAGCATAAGGTGTCAGCATACTTTGTATACTGAAGCGCCACATAAAATACATTTAATATAAAAAAATTCATTGTTTTTAATCCAAAGCAGTTAAAAGGTGAAAAAACTGCAAAAGGCAAACAATGTAATATCTCAGAAATGGCACTGCTTACATCAGCATCAACATCAAAAATTCCTACTTTAAAATTAAATAATTTTTGGTGCATAGACTTTCCCTTTAATTATTCATGCAAGGGCAATTGGATATCAATTTGTTTGGCTGTATTTTCGTAAACACATTCTTGTTTTACGTACTTTCTTGATTTTTATATTTACTATTTTGTTATTGTTTGTATTTATACCATGCTTGGTGTATATGTATTTGATGGCTAATCACATAGCATTATTGCTGTACAACATGATGATGTAATTTGCAACTTGATATACAATTGTATTCTTTATAGTTACTCTGCACCATGGCTCAGTGCTTTACAGATCTTTCCACAAGGCATACAGAATAGGCCAGGTTAAAAGGACCTATTCAATATACATCATCTATTGTTATCATGAAAACAATAGATGTGTATTTTAGCCATTAGCTTTAAGATATTTTCAGTGTGAGCTTGATTTTTGCAAAAAATTTTAGGTATATTTGTGAAGTGTATCAATGGATAAAATGGTTTAAAAAGCATGAGCTATTAAGTCTAACTACATTGTCCTACGATGTCTCTCTTTATAACTGTCCAAGAACACTCCCATTAAGTGCATCCGTGGATTCCATTATTACTCCACAGAGCCTTTCCTTCACCTCCATTATCCTCTACATGGCCAGATATCCTTGTTAGTCTTAATAATTCCTTCTCGTGTCACAGCCTCATGTAACATTTCTTAATTGTTCCAGTTTTGTTGTTACGGATGTTTTATATTACTTCTCCCAGTTTCCTAAAAATACCAGTGTCTTACAAATTTATATAGCCAAGTACTCACCTCCAAATCTCTTGTAAATCCTCTTATAACTGTACTTTTATCTTTAATAATCCTTGTGTATTGACTTTATTATGGATCTCAAACCATGGCTGTCCAGCCGTCTTTGAACCAGAACGCCATGAACTACAGGAATAAGTCTAAGAACAAACTGAGGTCCAAATATAAAGAGCCTTTTTTTCTTCTTTCTTGCCAAAGTCATACTCTTTCTATACTCTCCATATGATCTCAATTATTACTATTCCCTTCTTCTTCTTTAGATATTAATCTTTGCACAAATAGTCCTTCTTTATAAAGCTGTCCCCTACCGCTAAGCTGTTACATTTTAACTCTCCTCAAAACATTGTCCATGACGTTCTGTGTAACTACTTACATGCCTTATATGTACCCCAACCATTGTCTTCCTCTAACGTTGTGTCTGAACATTATCTAACACTGCTCGAGATCCTGGTAGTCTTTGAGGGTTAAACTGCCCCCTAGGTCACACGCGTAGATCGATGGACGGAATCAAGCCATTAAAATGTGCAGTTTTTTTGTTTGTTGGAATGAAGTAATTAAATGGTTGGGTAAGGACAGGCTATACCTTCCTCTGATGAAAACTATTGATTTCTTGCCACGATTTTATAAGTGACACTGTTTTTGATTACTCTTGACAAACCTCCTTAGAGTGTTAATTAAATTGGCTGCAGATGAGCAGGTGTGGGAAATCATTACATTTCTCAGTCCATGCTCACTCGCCTAATATTTTGCTGTCTTGCATAATGAACAAGGGCGCGGGAGAGACACACGCAAAGCAATATCTTTATCAGCAAAATTAACATTGAGGTTTGTTTTAATATCTTCCTTCATACACAATGGGTTTTTTTCCTTGGTTTTTTTTTTTTTTCAAATCCCCTGGATGCTTTTGAATTAAAAGATCTCACACCATTGTACATTTTTTTTACTTGAAATATTGACCAATTTGGTTCACATATTTTTTTTAAATACATGTAAAATAACCCGCTAACCCTTGAGTCAATAAAGTAAAGGTTTGTCCTGTTTTCAAATTCTATTGGAGAAAGGATACACAGTTCTTCCTACCTTTGATCACGTAGCATATGTGAGAACGCGGTCCTTCCTTGAATATTTCTCTACTGCATAGAATTATGGGGAATGTAGTCCAACAACTGCTTTACTGGATGCCCTTGTTAATACAGCATCTCCCATGTGGAGAATTCGTCGAAGAAAAAATACCAGACCAATAAATGTTAAAAGGTGTCTCATCCTATTTGGGGAAATGTGTGGAATTTTAACATATTTTGCTCTTTTGTTAA